GCTAGTTCACTGATTAATTTAGAATATCTCAAAAATCCTTCAAATAAGATGTTGTTAAGGAACACAAGGGCTATGGGGAAACCCCTAAAATTGTCTTAATATGAAATGGAATACGTGAAAGGCAGCTATTTAAAAGCACCTAGTACTGAGACAGCACTGGCTAACCGGGGCCTCAAGGGAAATGGTAGCCTTGGGTGGTTAGGCCTCGATGGGGTTTGCCTTAGCAAAGACCAATTGGCCTTCTGACCCTCAGAATTATAGACTTTTTTTGTATCTGGAACATCACTACAGTCGTAAGGAAGAAACCTGACCTTGTTAAGAAGGTGGAGTGATATTGGTAGTGATGTGTCCTGTGTGCCAAAGCTTCGAAGCATGTGTCGGGTAATCTCGGGGGAGTTTTTGTGAAGCGCGTATCGAGGCTTGCTTTGATTACGCTGGTTTGCGCCAGATTCAAAATAAAATGGGCAGCAAAACACGGCTGATTTCCTGATTTACTTGAGCATTTCTTCTTCGATGAAGCCAGCAAGGAAGAGATTTTTTTTTTTTAATGTCATCTCTCCTAATAAAGTATGCACACAGTAATAAACATAATGAATGATAAGTTCCATAATATAAATAAGCAACACTACAGATCCTATAATCTGATTTCTGTCTTTTAGTTTATTAAAAAGTGAAGCGCCACACACTAGTTTGTGTCATTATCCAGATGTAGATATAAGCATGATTACAGTTAAAAATTCTGTCCTGATAGTTTCCACTTTCTCTTTTGTATCAGACTGAGTCAATATTCGGGATAAATAACTATGAAAACAATTTATTTATTTAGTTCAAAGGTTTACACATCACATCACTATAATCACAGAGCCTGTTTCACTTGAATCGTCCACTTGATGGCGCAGTAGAGCAAATGAATCATCACAATGCTTGGAACCATGTTGGACCGTCGACCTGTTGGATGGAAAGCTCCAGTTCGAGGCTTCATCTCACCATCACTAGACCTTGGCCTCACTTCTTTCTAAAGGAAGGATTGTGGAATCACAATCCCAGAAAGTGAAAGTCACCTCTATGAACATTTAGCTCACAGAGGGTAATCCTTTTGAATGTGCGCACTTGTGCAGCAGTTGAGAACACCAAACCTTCTTGGTTAATTTTTGATCGAATCCTACAGTCCTTGTTGGGGACTACATAAATTGCCGTGGTGCCTTCAAAAGCTCATGTGGGTGACATAGTAGAGACCTGTAGATTGCAAGCACTACCCAGTCTGATTTGAACCAGATTGGTATTTTGTTATTTCACTTCTGTACCAGGCATGGGTACAAACATCATCATCATCATCATCATTTATTTATTTATATAGCACTTTAAAAACACACCTAGTAGACCAAAGTGCCATACAATACTAATATGCACATAGTAATAAAACTAGACATAGCAATAAAATAAAAAATAATTAAAAAAAAACAAAGCAATAAAAAATATCAGTTACCCACAGAGTTAAAAGCCAGGGAATAAAAATAGGTTTTTAATAAAGACTTAAAAACTGGCACTGATGTAGCCTGTCTAATATGGAGAGGAAGGTTATTCCAAAGCATCGGCGCGGCAACAGAGAACGCTCGGACCGAAAGCAGCAACTGCTCAGCTGACCGAAGGGAACGAGTGGGGACGTGGGGCTTCAACAAGTCAGACAAATAAACAGGTGCCAGA